TCTGTGAAACCGAAGATCAACACAGAGGAGAGGCTGCCCCGGGAAAAGCTCAGCCCCCCCACGCCCAGCATCTATGTATGTGCGCCCGCCGCCGTGGGAGTGGCGGGGGGCTGTTGGGGTGTCTGAGCCTGAGACAGGGTTCTGATCTCACTGTCTCCTGTTGTCCCTCAGCTGGAGAGCAAGCGGGACGCCTTCTCCCCAGTGTTGCTGCAGTTCTGTACAGACCCTCGAAATCCCATCACCGTGATCCGGGGCCTGGCAGGTTCCCTGCGGCTCAGTGAGTGTGGAGGACAGAAAAGGGGGAGGGATGCAAGGGTTTGGGACTCAGAGAGCCCCCGCTCTTAAAGACCAGGAGAGTGCGTGGCGAGCTTCCCTTAGTCACAGGGAGGCTGCATTTGAAGGGAGCTCTGAGTGATGGGTGAGCTGGACTCAGGCTTTTCTCCCATCTGTAGCCAACAGTAGGCAAGTGGGAAGGGGCTGTATCGCAGGGTCTGGTCAGTCACTTTTAGTTTTCTTGGTGATTAAGGATGAGAAGAAGATTGTAGAGTGTCCCTGAAGACCCATGATTTGAGGCTTCACTTTTCCAACCTTTATTGTGCAAAATTTCAAACACATAAAAGTAGGTGGATCCATATAAAAATATAGAAATCAATCTTGCTGTTTCTGTACCCATATATTTTCCTTCTATTGAGTTACTCAAAGCACATTCGAGGCTTTTACTTAAGTCTTTCATTGCATCTGATGATAGCTTAAAGAATCTGTCACTCATTAAGCACCTGCTGTATGCCAAGTGCTGTGCACATGCGCCTCCTGCATACCTGCGGGCTCTGGTGGAGGAGTTGAAGCCAGAGCAGCAGTGCCGGATTGGGTTGATGAGGGATGGCCAACCTCCCCAGCTTCCTGTGCGGCTGGGGTTCTGCCTATTCCCTCCCTGGCTCTACCTCTGAAGCCAATGTCCAGCCTGTCAGAGGCTTGGGGAGTAAGAAGGGACAGAGAGAGTTGGGTCCTCAATCCCTCCCTCTGCCTCTTTCCCGACACCCTGCTCCGCCTTCCCTTGCAGACCTGGGCCTCTTCTCCACCAAGACCCTGGTGGAGGCGAGTGGTGAGCACACGGTGGAAGTGCGCACCCAGGTGCAGCAGCCCTCCGATGAGAACTGGGATCTGACGGGCACTCGGCAGATCTGGCCCTGTGAGAGTTCCCGCTCCCACACCACCATTGCCAAGTATGCACAGTACCAGGCCTCGTCATTTCAGGAGTCCTTACAGGTGAGAGGCAAGCAAAGGGAGGCAGGGGTGCGGATCGGGGGGCTTGGAGGGGGGCTGCTAGGGGGGGTTCCTGGAAGGTGGCTGACTCAGCCTGTGGCCAAGCAGGAGGAGAAGGAAAGTGAGGATGAGGAGTCGGAGGAACCGGACAGCACCACAGGGACCCCTCCTAGGTACCGTACAGTGTGCCCCTTCCTTTGGTGACTTCTGCCCTCCCTCCCCTGTGTGCTCTCCGCCAATGTGTGCTCCCCACCCCCACAGCAGCACACCAGACCCGAAGAACCATCACATCATCAAGTTTGGCACCAACATCGACCTATCTGATGCCAAGCGGTCAGTGGGGTTGAGGCCAGCAGAGCTGGGGAGGGCTGCTGATGGGTCTGCGGGGCGGGGATAGCTTCTCGCTTTTATTGACTCTCTCACGGCCGCAGGTGGAAGCCACAACTGCAGGAGCTGCTGAAGCTGCCCGCCTTCATGCGGGTAACATCTACCGGCAACATGCTGAGCCATGTGGGCCACACGATCCTGGGCATGAACACCGTACAGCTGTACATGAAGGTCCCCGGCAGCCGAACGCCAGGTGCAGAGAGCGCGTGGGGCGGGGCCGGGCCGCTGCTTTCAGCCAATGGGGGCCAAAGGGAGGCCTCTGGGAAGGAGCTCGGCTCGGCTGGGCCAGCCATGGCGTTCTCTATTGCCCCCTGCAGGCCACCAAGAGAACAACAACTTCTGCTCTGTCAACATCAACATAGGCCCTGGCGACTGTGAGTGGTTCGCGGTGCATGAACACTACTGGGAGACCATCAGCGCTTTCTGCGACCGGTGCGCCCCTCTTTTCCCCCCAACACACACAGTAGGCCCACCCCCCATGTCCCATCTCTGGGTCGCCAGGTTTCCATCTGACCCTATGGCCACCCCACAGGCACGGTGTGGACTACCTGACAGGTTCCTGGTGGCCAATCCTGGATGATCTCTATGCTTCCAATATCCCTGTGTACCGCTTCGTGCAGCGCCCTGGAGACCTCGTGTGGATTAATGCGGGGACCGTGCACTGGGTGCAGGCCACCGGCTGGTGCAACAACATCGCCTGGAACGTTGGGCCCCTCACCGGTGAGAGGGTGGGGTGTGAGAGGAGAGGGTGGGGTGCAGAGACACTCAGTGGTGAGGGAGGGGGAGAGGAGGAGCCAGCTGTGTGGGAAGGGGCTTGGGTCCAAGTAGGTGGGAGATGTGTGAGAATCCTGTCGTGACTGCTTCTGGCCCACAGCCTATCAATACCAGCTGGCCCTGGAACGATATGAGTGGAACGAGGTGAAGAACGTCAAGTCCATTGTGCCCATGATTCACGTGTCCTGGAACGTGGCTCGCACCGTCAAAATCAGCGACCCCGATTTGTTCAAGATGATCAAGTGAGGGTCCTATTTGAGGGAGCCCATTTCCACCAGACCTGGTCCCACTCTTGTTCAGCCTGTAGAATGCAACCCCATTCTCCATCTTTCTCTCCACCCTTTACTCATGCGCCCTGCCGTATTACAGTGCGGAGCAGGTGGCAAGGTGCCTGCTCCAAGGAATTTTATTTGACGGTGGCCCAAACAGAGAAAAACCCACGCGAAATTTTAACGGGGCCTAGTAAATGAGGGCTACTGCGCCGCCTGCCTAGCAGCCCTACCTCACACCGCTCGCCACCCCCACCCAGGTTCTGCCTCCTGCAGTCCATGAAGCACTGCCAGGTGCAGCGGGAGAGCCTGGTGCGGGCCGGGAAGAAGATCGCCTACCAGGGCCGGGTCAAGGACGAGCCTGCCTACTACTGCAACGAATGCGACGTGAGTGGGCGGCTTCCCCCTTCCCGGAGCAAGGAGCCCCAGCGGCGTTCTCCCCCCCCTTCCCCCCCCCCCCGCTGACGGCCCCCTCCCCGTCCCAGGTGGAGGTGTTCAACATCCTGTTCGTGACGAGCGAGAACGGCAGCCGCAACACGTACCTGGTGCACTGCGAGGCCTGCGCCCGGCGCCGCAGCGCGGGCCTGCAGGGCGTGGTGGTGCTGGAGCAGTACCGCACCGAGGAGCTGGCGCAGGCCTACGACGCCTTCACGCTGGTGAGGCGGCGCGGCGCCCGGGGCGGGCACGGGGCGGCCGGGCGGGCCCCGCAGGGGCGGGCTAACGGGGCGCCAGCCCAGCCCTGAGCCCCGCTCTCTCCCGCAGGCCCCCGCCAGCACGTCTCGATGAGGCCGGATGCCCCGCCCTCCTGCCGCCTGCAGGGCGCCGGGGCCACCAGCACACGCCTGGGCTGGACCTAGGTCCCGCCTCTGGCCGGGAAGGGGGACGGGCATGGCCCTTCCACCCATTGGCAGCTCCCCTTCACTTAATTTATTAAGAAAAAATTTTTTAAACAAATACGAGGAAAAAAGGAAAAAAAAAAAAAGGGAGACGGGGGAGGGGGCTGGCAGCCCCTCGCCCACCAGCGCCTCCTCTCACCGACTTTGGCCTTTCTAGCAACAGACACAAGGACCAGGCTCCGGCGGCGGCGGGGCTCACATACGGGTTCCCTCACGCCTGCCCGCCGCCTGCCCGGCGCAGCGCACGCGGCTCGTGTATGTACATAGATGTTCCGGCAGCCGAGGATTTTAATGAGATTCTTTCTATGGGCTTTACCCCTCCCTCAGAACCTCTTTTTTTATTCCCAATGCTAGCTGTGATCCCTGTACATGTCTCTTGTTTATTCACTTCGTTATGATTTGTATTTTGTTTTTCTTTTTGTTTGTTTTTAATTTATAACAGTCCCACTCACCTATTTATTCATTTTTGGGAAAACCCGACCTCCCGCATCCCCAAACGATCCCACCCACCCCTACAGGGCCGCCCGCCGCAGGCTCCCCTGCGCCCCAGTGTGTCCGGGCCCGGCCCGGCCCCGTCTCCGCCCGCCGCCCGCCGCCCGCGCTCGGCCGGGCTCTCATGGTGCTCAATCCGCTCCCCTCTCCGCCGTCCTGCACTTTCTTGGACCAGACCCCCCTCGCCCCATCCGACCCGACCCCAACCCTGCCTGAGGGTGAGCGACTCCTGTACTGTAGGGGAAGAAGTGGGAACTGAAATGGTATTTTGTAAAAAAATAAATAAAATAAAAATTTTTTAAAGTTTTAAAGAAAGAACTATGAGGAAAAGGAACCCCATCCTTTCCAGCCCCGGCCAATTTTAAAAACACGGACCTTCCCCTCACTCCCCCACCTTTTCTTTTTAAGTGTGAACAGCCCGGGCCAGGGCCTCCCTGGGGCAGGGACACCGGGAGGAATTCTCTGGGGCTTTGTTGTCGTGTTGTCAGTTTCTCTCCTCAGCTGGGGCTGCGGAGGGTGGGGGTTACAGTCCCGCCCCCTCGCACTGCACTCTCTCTCTGCCCCAGGGGCAGAGGGGTCTTCCCAATCCTACCCCTATTTTCGGTGATTTTTGTGTGAGAATATTAATATTAAAAATAAAACCAGGAAAAAAAATCCTGTTTTTAGTGTGCTGATGATAGGGAGAATACCGGGAAGAAGGGCTGCAAACCGTGATTGATGGGGAGATTGCCCAGACCCCGGCCAGAGGGAACCCCTCCCCAGAGGCGCCTGTGGAATGTCCAGAGCTCTGGTCTGGGGGGGTGCCTACTCCTGGAGCCGCATTCCAGGATAAGGGGGGCGGGGTGGGAGAGGCCGGACGGGGGAGGGGCAGGAAAGAGGCTATAAGGCCGCTGCCCAGGCGGCTGGAGCCAGGCAGGCCATGGCGGATGTCCTCGGGGCGCAGAGACCGGTTCCCAACGGCGGCCCGGAGCCCCGGGACCCGCTGGACTGCTGGGCCTGTGCCGTGCTGGTCACCGCCCAGAACCTGCTGGTGGCCGCCTTCAACCTCCTCTTGCTGGCGCTGGTGCTGGGGACCATCCTGCTGCCGGCGGTCACCATGCTTGGCTTCGGCTTCCTCTGCCACTCCCAGGTGAGCGGGCGCCCCGGGTGTGCGTGTGGGTCCGGGTGTGGGGTTTATGGGCCACAACTTCTTGCCCGGCTGTTGGCGTGGGCCTGACACCTCGTCTGCAGTTTCTGCGCTCCCAGGCTCCCCCTTGCACCGCGCACCTGCGGGACCCGGGCTTCACGGCCCTGCTGGTCACCGGCTTCCTGCTGCTCGTGCCGCTGCTCGTCCTCGCGCTGGCCAGCTACCGCCGCCTCTGCCTGCGCCTCCACCTCGCCGACTGCCTCGTGCCCTACAGCCGGGCCCTTTACCGGCGCCGGCGCTCCCCGCAGCTGCGGCAAATCCGGGCATCCCAGGCCGTCCCCACATCAGGAAAGGTGTGGGTGTGAGGACCCTCGAGTCAAGAACAACCCCGACGAATGCCCTCTTTTTCAATCCGCCCAAGGACGTGAAGCCTGGGGGTCTCCCGACCTGCCTTGCCCCATCCCTACCTGAGCCCCCTTGGCGAACTGCAGCTTCTGTGGACCCAACGTTGGTGAAAACTCGCCACTCCAGAAAACCCGTTCTTTCTACTCCCCGTATCTGAATCCTGAATATCTGGGCTGGACCCTGCACCTACACTCCCCGCCCCCTCCCCCATCTTGTGAATAGGACAACTGAACCTCACGGGTGCCCTCCTTTCCTCCAGAATCTACAGGCTGCTGGGGGAGGTCGGAGGGGAAGGAGGGATCACACATTAATAAAGAATGAACTGAACGAGCTTCTTGGGTCCTGTGAACAGAGGGGTGGTACAAATACTATCACCACTGCTATGTGCCCAGGAAAAGGAAACGGGAGAGGGGTGTGGCTCAAGTGTGCCGCCGGGAGCATCCCCCAGCCTCTAGGCCTTTCCTTATCGCGTTAGCCTGCTCTTCCTGACCAGACCCACGCTCTGTCCCTGAACCCAGTCACCTCCCACCAATAGAGTGGAGAGGGCCTGGATTTTGTCGCTTGCCCCGCTCCCCTTGGGGACCCGAGCCCGTTCTCTGACCCCAGCTTAGAGGAACTCAGTGTTGCCAGGCCAGGAAGGGAAACAATGGGCCTTCCGGAGCAGGATGACACCCCCTCCCGCCACAATTCTGGAGCAGCAGCGTGGGAGGGAAGATGGAGGGGTCCACCCTGGGACCTTGTTGGTCCGAAGCGCAGCCTGTCCCCCATCCCGCCCGCGAACTCCTGGAAGCCTAGTCTGTGGGAAGTGCGACCTCTGTCCGGACATCCCAGTTACACACACACAGGCCACTTGGGTTACAGGTTTAATGAAGTCTAAAAGACATGCGCGATCATGGTTAGAGATAGGGAGGCCCCGCCAGGCTCTCTCTTTGCACCTCAATGGAAACGATGTGGTGTCCGGGTACCATGGCCAAGCCCAGCACACGGGGTTCCCCAGCAGAGAAGGAATCTGGAAAGGAGGGTCAGGACATCAGGGAGGCAAGCCAGCGCCGGCCCCGCCCCTTTTGAGCCACGACTTCCAGCCTCCCAAAATGAGGGGTGCAGGCAGGCTCCAAAGGGGACATGCCCGAGTGAGGCTCCACCGCATTCCCGGCGGTGCATTCCCCGGGCACTGACCCGACGGCTTGAGGAACTCCTGCGCCGAGCCTAGGATAACATTGCAGTCGCGGTCGGTGCAGAGGAAGCAGCCGACCAGCGTCCGTCCATCTGACATACGAATGCGCATGGTCTTGTTGAGCAGCGCCTGCAGCTGCTGCCGGGCGCGCGCAGCCGGCGAGTCCTCGCGCTCTCCGTCCGAGTCCTGCGCGGGCAGGACACGCTCAGACCGCGCCGCCGAGGCCGCTGCCCGCCCGCGGAACCACAGCTCCCGGCAGCCCGCGGGGCGCTCACACTAGTCCCGGAGGCTGCCGGGAGCTGCAGTCCCCCCCGCCCCATCACCGCCTCCCCCCATCTTGCTCCCCGACTGCCCCGCAATCTCGGAACCCAAGCCCGCGCTAACCCCAGCGCTGGAACTGCTTTGACGCCGGCTGCAACAGCCATTCTCCTCTCGAAGCAGCATGGTCGGCCCAGCTCCCGCCATTTGTCCCGGGGCCTCCTCCAGGCCCTTCAACTCCCTAAGAACCTTTCGGGTCCGATGGTCTGAGATCTCGCGAGCTCTCCCGGCAGCTTTTCTTCCGCGAGATCGCCCCTCCTCTCCTCTTCGGCAACTGCAGAGATCTCGCGAGCTTCTACTTTCCAGCGCTGTGGCTCACTGAGTTCTGCTATGCCGGATGTATTAAGATATCGCGAGAAACTTTACCTCTAAGTTTTTTTTTTTAAACATATTTTAAGAACCCTGGAATTTAGCAAGGATTTTTTTTTTTTTAATCGCACAATTCCCCCCGTTTTTCTGACTCTCGAGAAAAATCTGTCTTAAATATCCCCTGTAGCCCAGGCCACTCCGAATTCTCCCCGGAACTCCTGAGCATTATGTCAATGATTTGAAAGCAGAAATCAAACTACGTTTCCCATGGATCGACGCTACTCTTTGCCCACCCAGCGTTTGATCTCTGTAGACGGTGGCTGAAAAGGGACAATGGTTTCCATGTCAGCGGATAAACGCTTTGGTCTTAGCTCCAGGATGGGGGAGGCTGTAGTGATGAGCCTGTGCTGAGGAGCGAGGAAGAAACTTGAAAGGAGCCGGCGACCAATAGAGCAAAGAGCCATGCCACGCCGGGGCCTAGTTGCCGGGCCAGACTTTCAGTTTTTCCGGCGTCGGTATTTCACGCCGATTGAGGTGGCTGAACATAACCAACCGGACGACCTCTGGGTGTCTTACCTGGGAAACGTGTACAACCTAACGCCGTTGGCACTAGAGCACATAGGTAAGGGCCACACCGTGGGTCCGCTTCGGGTGTGTTTTGTGGGCGCCTGGTTTTGGGGGGCGGCTAGAACTGACGGCGGCTGCCCCTTTCCAGGAGACCTGCTGCTGAAACCCATCTTGGAAGTTGCGGGTCAGGACATCAGCCACTGGTTTGACCCAAAGACCAACGACGTGAGTTCTGCCTGGTGCTGGGTGTGTGTGTGTGCGCGGGTGGGATGGGAGAGCATTGGAAAACGAGGATGGGGAGGAAAAAGAGGAGCTAGCCAGGGCCCGAGAGGGTGACTGCTCCCATCTTCTCCCCTAAACCTTGCTTTGAAGATCCGAAAGCACATAGATCCGCTGACTGGTGCCCAGAGATACCGCACCCCCCGGGGCCGCTTTCTGCACGTCCCGCCTCAGCTGCCTCGTTCCGACTGGGCCAACGATTTCGGGAAGCCCTGGTGGCAGGGGTCGCGTTATGAAGTGGGTCGGTTGTCCGCCAAGACCCGGAACATCCGTATCATTAACACACTCACGTCGCAAGAGCACACACTGGAGGTGAGAACTGATGCCCAGGGGCAGGTTAGAGGGAACTGGGAATCCCAGCAAATCTCCAAGCAGAGAGATCTTAAGGCCATCAACCCTCCCTAACCGGTGGAAGCTGTATTTTCACCCCCTTTTAGGTGCAAGCCAGAGAAGCAGACCACCTAGGTCCCAGTAGACTCCTTTATAAGGTCAGGGCATCAGTTTATGTATCTTAGTGCTGGTGGTCCATGCAAACTCTTACATGCTGTGTTTGGGACAGCAAGTGCAATTGGACTCTCAATAGTCTATTGTGGGAATGAAGTTCCCAGGCAGTGACTTGACTTTGACCTGTTAGGGCCATCTGTTAGAAGTGGCCGCCACACAGACAGGTAGGTCTTGAGTGCCGTTGGTTGCATGCCGGAGCCCCAGCTTCATTTCTGGGGCTGTGGAGTGTCTGAAGCTATCTGCCAAGGGAGGCATCTGATCCCAGCTCATTTTTTGGGCTCTTGGCCTTTTGCTTGGAATGTGTGTGTGTATGTTCCACCCCGAATTCTGGGAGTGGGGTGCTTTTGTGTTCTCCAGGTGGGGGCCCTAGAATCAATGTGGGAAATCCTACACCGCTATCTCCCCCACAACGCACATGCTGCCAGCTACACATGGAAATACGAAGGGAGGAACTTGAACATGGACTGTACCCTGGAAGAGAATGGCATCCGGGATGAGGAGGAAGAATTTGATTTTCTCAATATGGATGATACACTCCACACACCTGCAATCCTGCTCTACTTCAATGATGACCTCACAGAGCTATAGGAAAGGAGATACATGCTTATATAGACTCAAGACATATTTTGAATCTGGCTGTTTCTGTACCCTGTAGGAAAAGAGATGGGGAGGGGGTGGGGGAATGCCGGGACCTAGACTTACTTCCTACTCTGGGAATTGACCTGTGGTTCCCCTGCCCTTATGAGATATAAAGGTCCTGTTTCACAGGTCCATTATAATTTTCTGAGGAAATTAGGGAGAATGTTAGAAGTTAATTTTTTTTTAAATGATACGACAAAATATCTTGGACTAAGGAGATGTAGAAGAGGATAGAGTTCGGGTAGAACTTTAAAAATATATTTTTATTGATTTCAAAGAAGAGAGAGGGAGAGAGAAACATCAATAATGAGTCACTGATTGGCTGCTTCCTGCATTCCCCCCCTGGGGATCAAGGGCACAACCTGGGTATGTGCCCTTGACCAGAACTGAACATAGGACCCTTTGGTCAAAAGGCTACAGCTCTCTCCCCTGAACCAAATCAGCTAGGGCTCAGGTAGAACTTCTTGATAGTAAGAGAAAGAGAAATCCTATACAGGGATGAGGGATGGAATGATTTTTTTTTTTTTCAATGATGGAAATGGGATGGCTGCAGGAAGATGGTATTTACAGAGACAGAAATAGTAAATGACATCGAAACCGGTTTGGCTCAGTGGTAGAGCGTTGGTCTGTGGACTGAAAGGTCCCAGGTTCGATCCCGGTCAAGGGCATGTACGTTGGTTGCGGGCACATCCCCGGTAGGGGATGTGCAAGAGGCAGCTAGTCGATGTTTCTCTCTCATCGATGTTTCTAGCTCTCTATCTCTCTTCCTTCCTCTCTGTAAAAAAATCAATAAAATATGTTTTTTTTAAAAAGTAAATATCTTATCATTGGCCATACAAAACTGGCTAATCTCCCTTCTGAATAGTATTTGCCAGCTGAAACCCAAGGGAAAGAAAGGAAGTGAATGGTTACCAGGTAATTCAATTTAGATATTATGTGCTTTATACACTGTTTAGTATGACTACCCATTATCACTATTTTACAGATAAGTCTTTTGAAGTTTAGCAAGATTTAATAGAACTAAGGCAGACTAGTTAGTGATCCAGGAGGTAAACCTAAGTCTGCCCAAAGTCCATATTTTTTTCCTTGTAAAGGAAATATCTCAATGTTGTAGGCTCATTACACAATGCCTGTAGGCTTATTGTTTAGTCAATTGTTTTTTTTTCTGCAGCTATTAGCAGAGGTATGCAGAGACAAACAAGAGTTAGTGAGGTTAAGTATCAGCTGAGCAATAGCTATTGAGACTACTTCGTGGTTAATCCCATAGCAAAATTTTCTCTTGCCATTTTCAAGGCAAAGGTGGGTATATACTGGTTCCAGGAAAAACTAGAGTTGGGCCTTTGGGGTGGGCCACTTTGGATGTTGGAGCAAAAGGGAGGCAGATAGCACAGTAAGGGCCTGCACCTCTTAGGGAATGTGAGGGTGCAGGGTTGACTTTGCAAGATATTTTTTCTACAATAACAGGCTCGACGGGGATAATGTAAATAGAGGAGCTATTAAGTCAAAATTCTTGAGGACCAAAAGAGAACAACAGATTTGGTCCCATTTAACGTTAGCAGGGAAGGAGAATAACAGGTGAATTTCCTGATGGTAACAGGCAAACTATCCCCTTTGTACATCCTCCTGACATCGGCCCAGAGCATAAAAAGTGGCCCCTGTGAGACATTGGGTGGGCTGCATAGGAGTTGTGTTGTTTTCTTTAAATATATTTTTATTGGCTTTAGAGAGGAAAAGAGAGGGAAAGAAACATCAGTGATGAGAATCATTGGCTGCCTCCTACATGCCCCCTTCCTGGGGACTGAGCCCACAACCTGGGCATGTACCCTTGATCAGAATCGAATCCAGGACTCTTCAGTCTGCAGGCTGACCCTCTATCCACTGAGCCAGACAGCTAGGGCCATAGGAGTTTTTTGAAGGGCATGGAGAAGGGGAGACATCTGTATTGGCTTTGGCAGTACCTGAACACAAGGTGAGAACTGAGGGATTCTTTTAGTCCCATGTATTGCAAGAGTCCATGAATTACCAAAATCATTTTGATGTTTAATCAACTCTACAGTTGATTTGTGTGCATCTTGTTTGTCCAGTTAAATCCTAAACTCTTTGAGAACCAAAGCTATGTTGTTGCTGTGGGAATGTGCATCCTCAGGACTAAGCCTACGGGATCTGTCCCTCTTCCAGAGTCTCCTACTTTTCAATACCTGTTGCCAAGCACACATCTCTCTCTCTCCTCACACATCCAATCACTCTCCAAGCAGACTCTAACTCCTAAATATCTCTGGAACCCGTCTTTTTTCCAAGCTGTCATCACCTGTGTTAAAATTACTGATGTAATGGCTGGCTGGCTGCTAGATTGTATCTCATTAGAGCATTTATCATGTCCAACTTGTTTCTTGCTGAATTCCAAGTGTTAGGCACACAGTTGCTGCTCAATAAATTTTGATTGAATGAACTCAAATGTTAAGTGAATTCATTAGTTTATATTAACCAATGTATGGGATGTTGTGTCTTAGGAGGCAAGGTGAGACCAAGAAATAGGATGTCTGGATCCTGTGCCATAGTCTCTATCCACAGGTTTCTCTTTCCTTGCTCTCCATAGATCCAAGACCAAAAATTATCCCATGAGGTTCTTCCTCTCATAGGTTTTTGGAGCAATCTGTCATTTCCCCATTTGGCCACCAGGTGGCTGTAACTGCCTACAAAGTCAGGGAGGGGACTATGGGAGGGAAAACACGTTCAAATTCTAGAGGTTAGGATTAAAGATGGCCCCTTTGAAATTTATAGGTGGGAGGGAAGGATCTGAAAAAAAGGAAGAACTACAAGGCCATTATTCTATTAGCAATATGTTTATTCCTGTTCTTAGTTTTCCCTGCAAGCACCCACCAGGAAAGGAATGTAGTTAGAGGAAAAAAACTCAGCGGGGACCATGGTCTCCGCGGTGAGAGCCTGCCCGGGAGGTACAGGTCCCATTCCTGGTCAAGGGCATCTTGTCAAGGGCATGGACCTGGGTCAGGACATGCAGAAAGCAACCAGAAGATGTTTCTCTCCCCTCACCACCACCCCTTTCCACTCTTTCTAAAGGTCAATGGAAAAAATATCCTGGGGTTGAGAATGAACAAAACAAAAAAAATTTAATATTTAAAAAATCATGAGAAAAGTAGAAGATCTGAATTCAGGTGTGGGTGTGTATGGGGTGAGGCATGGAGCTATGGAAGGAATAAAGACCACAGGTTTTTAAGATAACAGTACATTTGTTTATTAATATTTACTGTTTTGGGTAGAGGGCTATAAAGCTTTCCACTAGACACTACTTTGTTTCCTAAATATCCAAGACTGGATATTTGTATGAAGAATATGTAAATAATGCCTTGGCCTAAAACTTACAAAGTAAACAGAACATGAATGTAGGATCTTTCTTGTTCTGGAGGGAAGTGGGGTGGCAGAATATTGAAAGCTGCCTTTTCACAGTAAATCATAGAAGCTTCAAAGGACTCAATTGGCAAATATTCAAATATTTCCCCAAGTCTCGACCCTATATACATACATCACTAGAGGTAATAAAAAGATTTTTGGTTTTTTTTATTGTTGTTTTTTAATGTTCCTTGCAGGAAGCTTGCCTGCTCAATGGGATAAAACACACACACACACACACACACACACACACACACACAAAAAAAAAAAAAGAAATGAAAATTGTTCCTCATAAAGGACCAAATTATGTTATTGAAAAAGTTTCCACCCTCAAAGCAAATCACAGGAGGATTCTTAACCTGGACCTGCAGAAATGGTTTCTAAATATTGTATATGTGGGGGCACATGTGTATTATTTTGAAGAAAGGTGCTATAATTTCCATCAGTGTCTCAAACTGGATCAACCTCCTGCCCCTGAATAGTACACACACACACACACACACACACACAAATATTTTAAAGACACCTTCCCCATCCCTCCAGCCCTAGCTGGTTTGGCTCAGTGGATAGAGCCAAATGGCACACGTTACCCCCTCTATTTAAAATGTCTGAACTCAGGAGCCAAATAGATTTAGATAATGTATCCATTGCTATTTGCCCTCTCTCACTATTTGGAGGATCTGAGATCTGAATAATATCATTTGTGCTGGTAAATTCTTCTAATCCTTCTACAGAATAGTAAGGAAGATGAAATATTCCCTTGCCCTTAATAAACAGCCTATTACTCCATCATAGTATATCAGTTGAGAATGTATTTGGTTTCAAATAACAGAAGGCTGACTGCTGGGGCTTACCTGCAAGGGGTAGTTTTTCCTCACACCTTGGAAAAAGGTGGTACAGGGACTCCATAGAAGTTCATTAATGTCTCAGGTAGCTCCTGTTTTTGTTCTCATGTTTATGGTCTTTGCTGCTATACTCCTTCTAGCCTAGATTTTGGGCAGGAAAGAGGAAAAGAAGAAGGAAGAAAGGGCAATGCCTATATTAAGCAAAAAATTTCCCAGGCATCCTTAGCAGACCTTTGACTGATAAGAAATACATTGCACAGTAACCCTTAGCTGCAATGGACTCTGGGACAGGATTTTATATTGACATCCACAGCAAAAGCAGGGTCCACCACTGTGGAAGGAGAGAACGGATACTGGGTAGGAACTAGTGAGGTCTTCCACAAGAAGTGTGAGCGTGCTATTCTATTCTTCATCCATTAACAAAACAGTTATTAAGCACTTTGTGCCAGGCACTGTTCCACTTACTGGAAATACAGCAGTGAAAGTGACAAGTAAGTCTCCTGCTTTATTGGGACTTATAGTCTGGTGGGGAAACTATAAACAAGTAGACATTTCAGACAGTACTGGAAGCTATATACTATATTTGTATACGTATATACATACATACATACATATGTAAACACACACACATAGACACACACATATATGTATAAATGCCAAAAGTGCTATACAGACAAAAAACTAGAATCCCATGAGAATTGTGGAACGATCAGAGGCTTCTCTGAGATGATGACAAAGATTGCTCTGTATTACCTGTAGATCTGCATTTACCTGCATTATCACTTAATCCTCACAACAAACTTAAGTCCTATTTTATTGACACTGAAAAAAGAAGGAAATTGAAGCACAGAGAGGTTAAGTAATTTGCCAAAGTTCATACAATTAGTAAGGAGCAGAGGTGGGCTTTGAACCAGAGTCATAGGCCACACACAATTATAATGCACCACCTCCCTGCATTATAAACACAGGATGCTGGTCCAGTAACCTAACCTGCTTAATAAAACCATCTCAAGACTTAATGGCTTAAAACAACCACCATCATCTATTTTGCTAATGACCCTATCATTTGGGCAGGGTTGGATAGCTCATTTCCACTCCAAAAGGTGTCAATTGGGTAGATTGCTGGAAGCTGGAGGATTCACTTTCAAAATGGCTTGCTCCCACGGCCGGCAAGTTGAAGTTGCTATGGGTTCTTTTCCATGTGGGCCCCTCTGTGGGGCAGGATGGGCTCCCTTAGACCATGGGGGCTGGGTTCCCAGAGGAAGTATCCAAGCGAACCAAGAGGAAGCTCGCCTCAAATCCAAGGGAAGAGAACTAGATTCACTCCTCAGTGGGAAGAGTGTCAAAATTAATTTGTAATAGGAGCATTTGGGATGTTGAATATTATGATGGCCATTTTTGAAAAATATAATCAACCAGATGCATTGGAGGCAAAGGGAGGGATATCCAATTAGTCTTGGGTGTGGAGAGAGAAGTAGGAGGTGGGGATACCTAAGTAGAGCCTTTTGAGAAAACCTAAGTTGGAATCCTGACCCCACCTTCCACTTAATCAATTCATTAATATAAAACTGAGCATCAGTGTCATGTAGTGCTGGAATCTGTGAATACACTAATTAATAAGACAATTTCTGCCCTCAAGAAGCTTATATAGGCAGTCCTCCGGTTACGTCGGGCTTGATGCACATCGTTTCATTGTTTTGTTGCCATCTCCCATTTATTTATAAAAGTTCCATCATTTTGATGTATGTACATATGTGCTATGTGTTTTTTATTATTTATTTACCACAAGTAAAGGTCAGGAATTGTTATCTTTCTCTTAACTTTTTTACTGTTTCACTTCATTACTGCTGTGTATGTGCCCCATGTGAGTGACGTAGGTGCTTAGGTAGGTGGGTTCAGACTCACGGCGGAAACCGAGGCCCGCCGTGCTGCAGGATGGATAGGATCTCCAATGTGACCGAGGACTGCCGGGAGTTTAGTGGGAGATTAGAGAAATCTGTGAGCCTCTTGTCATCTTGCTTTCACTTGTACACAACCTACTGGAAATATAGCAGTGAAAGTAAGTCTCCTGCTTTCTTGGGACTTATACTTATACCCAGAAAAGCTCTTAAAGTTCTCCTGTTTAAAGTCTGCCAAGGCTTCCTCTTCCTCTTAAAAGGATGTTACGGACACACTTATACTATCCACAGTGTGATGATTTGCTCTTCCAAGGTCTTCTTTGTCTTCCTCATGGCCTTTAAGGCCCAGCTTTCTCACATGCTGTTCCTCTACATGGAACAGCTCTCCCTCTCCACTCATCACTGGCCAACTCCCGCTGCTTAAAGTCTTTGCTTAAATGGTACTTTCTCTGAGAAGTCTTTCCTGATCCCTCAATTATAACAATCTTTTACCAGACCCTCTCAGGCTGCCCTAAAACATCATAAGTTACAATTCAAATATTTAGCTTTTTGCTTTTTCTTTTGTATTTTTCCTTTTTTTAAAAAAAAAAAAACATATATTTTTTTTATTGATTTCAGAGAGGAAGGTAGAAGGAGAAAAAGACAGAATGATGAGAGAGAATCATGGATCAGCTACCTCCTCCACACCCCACACTGAGGATTCAGACCCGACCAGAGTTGAATCATGACCTCCTGATTCATAGGTCAACGCTCAACCACTGAG